TGACGTGTGTGTTAATGTCAATGTACAACATCTTTTTTAATGTAGTTGGGTTTCTTTTTTCCCCCCCCCAAAAAAGAAAGAAAAACAAATAAAAAATTGGAGAATTTTTAATATTTAGACGTTTTAGACGGCGGGCTCTTGACCCCATATTCCTGCAGGGCCAACCCGAGCGGGCAGGGATACAACATCCCATCAGAAAGAGCGGGGAACTCGATAAAGAGTTCTTCCCTTCTGGGAATCAAATTCGGGTCTCCTGCATACGACAGCGAAGCGCATTACCCCAGTGCTACACTGACGCCGGTGTTTAGTGTTTGAAGGGCATTGTAAGTGAGGTAGCGTGGTGAAATCAGGCGCTCGTCAAAATAATAACATCGAAGAAGCAGGCACTTTTTTAAAGTCAGTTTGACAATTTCTATCGATTAAAAAAAAATATAATTTTGGCTCAACACTTTTTATGTTCATAGAAAAGCGCACTTCCATGTGAATGTTTTTTTGAAAAACATTGATTAAAGGCACAAAACATGTAATTTTCAGGTTTTCAAGGTCTCTCAAGCTATTGAAGGTAACAAAATTTGGCAGCCATTTTCTCCCTAATTTTACCGCTGAAACCTGGTGACCCCCACCTCCTTCAACCGCGAATATTTGAACTCCTATTCAAGATAAATGGGTTTTTCTAATTGAAAGCAATACATTTGGCAAACAAATAAGTATTCAGATGGTACCAATACCTCCACATGCCCAAACATTGACGAGCACCTGATTTCACCATTTTCTATTCAGCTTCGACGAGGTAGAGCCTGTCATAGAACAGCCCTACACGACTGTGCAGTAACAGTTTATACATTGTCGCTTTAAAGCACAAGGGGGCTCTATCCCGAAAAATGCTGTTATGAAAAAATCGAAGGTAGAGTTTTTGGACCCCGGTTCAGTTTCTTTAAAAGACATGGAGGGTTTTCTCTATAACCAAACAAATATACACACCAATTAAAAACCAAACTTCTTTTATAGCTAGGGTAATGCCCACTTTTTAGTGTTGGTCAAAATTTCTGGAAACCCCCGAAATCTGGGTTAGCCCGCTTGTCCCTAAAAGCGACCACATTATCCCCCAAATCCACCAGAGAAGCATCTTTTGCACCACAACACCAACGCACGACTCTGCTTGTTTGGTTGGGCTTTTTTTGTTCTCAAATTTCTGTTGTTTTCTTTTTATTTGGACGTTTGTTACTACTAAACAGGGGATACAATTTATATATCACGGCGAGGTGGAATCAGCCGCTCGTCAATTTTTGGAGATGTGGAGTTATTGGTATCATCTGAAAGCTTATAAATTTGATTAGCTTTCTGCCCTGAGACAGGCAACGTGGCCAACCCCACTGACGCTACAAGAGAAGTTATACGGGCCGCCAGATGAACTCAGCAGGACGGCCCACTTTATGACAGATACCAGACTTCAAGTGTGATGCGATCGAGAAGAAGAAGAAGAAGATCAGCTTTCTATTTTTTAAAAATAATTCATCTACCTTGAATAGAAGTCAAAATATTTGCAGTCGAATAAGGTGAGGGTAGCATGGTTTTAGAGGTAAAATTAGCGAGAGAATGCCGGGCAAAATTTTGTAATGCTTGAGAGACATTGAAAGCTGAAAATGTAACATTATTCTGTGTCATTAATTAACGCGTTTTTCGGTAAAATTCACTCGGAAATGTGTTTTTTAATGGGCATGAAAGGTATTGATCTAAAAAAACAAAAAATGTCAAAAATTGCTAAACCGACCGAAAAATGTCGATACCTTCGATTTCATTATTTTGACGTACGCCTGATTTCACCACGATGCCTCACAAATTATGCTCACTTCTGAGTCCTAATGCCCCCAACCGTGTTCTGATATACACTGAGCAAGAGCCATACTACTAATACGGTGTGCCCGCCTAGGGATGGGATCCGGCCGATCGCCCGACTCGGTCGCCTAAAAAAACCAAACATGTTTGTTTTCAGTTTCACGCGATTGAGTTGGGAGTTCGGCCCGATCCAGCCGTAGTGGGTACCCCGCTTAACTGTCCAGCAAAAACTGACCAAAATAATTACTTACCTGGATAAAAGTACATGAGATCTTCTGCACCCAGTCCCAAACTGTCCAAATCATCGGCGTCCAGACCTGGGGCCCCAGACGTGTTGCTGGTGTTATCAGCGAGGTTCGTGATCCCAGCAGCCATGGTGAGCAGCGTGCTTCTGTGTTCTCCCTCTGATCTGAAGGTGAGCAAGAACAGTAGTTTGAGCTTAACGAAGCGCAAGTCAGAAGCGCCATGCCAATCAGATTCATTATATCTTGAGACGAGACGGCTTGTGTAAAAAAACAAACCTGATGGTCCGTATAGTAACAGCTGTCTGTCTGTCTGTCTGTCTGTCTGTCTGTCTGTCTGTCTGTCTGTCTGTCTGTCTGTCTGTCTGTCCCTCTGTCTCTTTCAATCATTCTCAAACTCTCTCTGTCCTCCTCTCTGTCTC